GAAACTCCTGACCAGGGCGGAATCGAACCCACGAGTTACCACTACTGCATGGGAGTAATGAGTGCTACTTGCCACTGCGCCATGGCTGTGCACAAATAATACCAAGACCACTGGGACCATCAACGAGTGACTGCTCTATTTTCTGCCAAATCAAAGCAAATCTTTAAGTTACTAGGATGCTCACACACGCCAAGCGCAACTACTATGCCAGGCCCTTCGGTCCCACGGCTAAAAATAAGACATACCATTATGTCTGTCTATCTGTCTGTGTATATATATTTCAGATCAGGCACAATATTGTAAGATCGTTTCCATGCAAAAATGTTACGCCCCGCTGTTGCTGCTTTGTCCTCTCACACCATGCGATTGCCACTTCTCGTCACGTTATCACTGCAATTTCTCGAAAAAATCAAAACTTGTCGGGTTCGCCAATGAACAGACCGCCAACAGAAGAAGCAACTATACTATAAACCAGCATCCGATCCAGGGTATTTAAAATTTGACAAGAGACGGAGACACTCGAGAAGCAACCGACGAGTGGTAGTACTTTTGCCAAGCAGCAACCACTCGCCGGCAAAAAGCGATCAACGGGCTCCTCTTTCGAGAATTCTTTAGAAGCAAACTGGTGGCTAGCTCGACACCTGGCACTGGAGCAACAAGGGTAGACCAGCAAGTTCAGCTTGTCAATCTGTTCAAAAATTTCTCTGCTGAACTACGGCTACTGAAAAAGCGCGATGCGAGAGAGTATGGTCGATGGGGAGACGGTAGAGATCGATAGAGTTAGCGTGGGCGTTTGTCCGGGTGTAGTGGGCTGTATGATTGGACGCGCGGCGTGTTGTGTGTGATTGGAGCCACGTGAGCGGTCGTGTGCGTCACCACGGTCTCTGTAGGCTCCTCGGGTTTGCATGGGTGGTGCGGTGTGGTACCTAGGAGGGAGAAGATGGTCCCCCGGGAGGAGCATACGTAGGCGTGGCTTAAGCCGGTGCTTGAAAGACAGGATTCCTGGCAAGGTGCTGTTCTTGACGTGAACTTACGCTTAGTTACGTCGAGCATGGAAGAAGGGGAGAGGGGGGTGGGTAGGGGAAGACTTCCCTTGAGGGCGATTTAGGAGCTATCTGCGAGATCTAGTTGTAGAGGGGTTGGGCAGAATTGATGGGAGGAATGGTACTTTCGAGGTTCAGGAAGGGACCAGGGAGGAGGAGGAGGGGGGAACGAGGAGAAGGCGGAGGGGGGGGGGAGGGGGTACCCCCATAAAACCCCGCCTGCTTCTGATTCGTACCTCTGAACCAGTGACCCCGTTTGCTGTTCTTCACGGACATGGAGACTTAAACCACCACTCCCGGCCCAGACACCCGCTCCTCAATCTTTCCCTCCCCCTTGCTCACCTGTACCCCACTGTACCTCTCCTCCCCCTCCTGCCCTCTCTGCCCCTCTGCACCCCTCTCTGCAGCTGTTCCTGGAACTCACCTCCCAACCCGGCCAAGCGGAGCAGTTGTCGGGGGAATAGCTACCCTGGGTATTTGGCTTTATCTTTGTAGCAGTGAAGGCCGCTTACTGATACCCCTGTTGAGTAGAAGTGGTCAAAGTGGTCGCGTAGAAGAATCGTGCTGCCTTAGTTTTCGACCAGTTTGGGCAAAGATTTTTCGTCTGTCATTTTTTTGTTTTTCAGGCCGCATGCTGCAACGATGTCGCCAGACAGCAAGAAACAAAAAACAACCGCTCAGCGTGGCGTAAGTTTTTATTTGCAGTTACTTCCTGCCCGTGATGTAGATGTTTCTGGGGCATGAGTGATTTCCCAGTGGTGCCGGAGCTCCACATAGATAATCCGGGCAACGGGCCGATTCATT